TTAATAAAGGTTAAGATTAGTTGATGTTTTACGCCATTTGTACGCTTGCTTTTGACGGCAGGTACAGTTATGGAAAAAAATTAATTCGCCAGGGAGAGAGAGGGTGAAGTGGTGTGTGAGAGGATAGGGGAAGGTGGAAACTTGCAACGTTACATAGAGGAAGAGATTTTCTTTCCACAATATAAATTTTTTTTTTTTTAGTTCATCCTAACTTTATTAAATGTGGTTAGGTTAATAAGAGCTAATAAAGACTTATATAAAATATGTATTATATTCTTCAGTGTTGATAAAAATTCACTAGACAAGCAACAATGAGCAACTTTGACCATAAAGAAACTCCCTAAATACTTCACTGTTATCTCTAATCTTATCTCTAAGTGACACTAAGATAATCAGGCATATCAATCATTTCCTTGACTTCTTCATCTTCATACGATTTAGTTCTTTATATAATGAATATCGATGGAAGCGTTTCACTCCAGTTAACATAAACTAACGTAACATTACCTTGAGTGAGGAGTGCTCATACCACGCAAGCCACAACAGTTCATTACCAGTGTTAACAGACGCCTACGTAACTCCGGAGTCGAGAGTACCTTAATATATATAATGTATTAGTTTCTTCTCATTCCTAATCATTCTTCTTAAGGTAGGGATATTAAATTGATAGCTGTTTGTAACTGGTGTCATTATCGATAGAAAATAAATAAAATAATTGAAAAAGAAAGAAAAAGTTGTTGGTAATAAAGCTCATGGGATAACTGTCTCGGCCAACACTCGACTCGTCCAACTCTCGTCCCCCGCTAATGGTTTAAAGCAACTTCCACACACTGGCTGATGAAGTGTGTTTATCCTCCACCACTACACTGAAGGAGCAGGGGAGCAGAATCGAACTCAGTGAGTCTTGACTTTTCATTACCCAGTGAAGGAATACAAAGACGGTTGCCTCAAAGGTGATTTACCGAAGGAATTTAAATAAATCAGGACTGTATTTCTAATTGGAGTTCAGAGTCTCTTATCAAAACCGCCAGATTTATCTAATCTAAATGACTTCCAGTAGTTAGTCTAACAGATAAAGAAAGATGAAATTTAATCTTTCCTTAGGATTACATAGAGCAGACACAAAGAACTATGCAGCCTCTACGCAACTCGCCACATAAAAAACGAAAGCGTAAATGAGGCGGCAGAGCTGTGTTGAGTTATGGTGCTGTTGAAGGTTCTCATCACTGCTTATGCCGCCACACTCATTTTGGCAAACTGGCTGGAGAAACGAACTCTGTGTGAAGACAAAGATGAGGCAGTGATGTCATCAGTATGGACACGACTTGTCACTTAGGGGAGAGTTGGTGAAGATTCTTACGTTTGTCCTTCCCGGTGTGTTCATGGAGGGAAGGAGAGGATAGGGGATAAGGAAGGAAGGAGGGAAGGACGGAGGGGGAAGTTAGGAGGGAGGGAATGGAAGAAAGAAATGGGGAGAAATAGAAAAGAGGAGATAATAAGGGAGGATATCGCTCTTGGTAAGGAGGGAGAGAAGCAGGAATATGAAAGAATCTTGGGATGGAGGAAACAAATTATATGGAGGAGCCTCGTAATGAAAAGGAAGAGCGAGAGTTAGAAAAAAAGAGAAAAGGAATAAGGAGAAGAGCTGGTAGGAAAGGGTAAAGTCAAGGAAGCGTATAAATGGAGATAAAAATGGGTAAAAAGTGGAGAGGAAAAAACGACGGGAAGGAGAAAGAGAAAAATGTGCTGATGAGAGGAAAGAAGAAGCGGGGGATGAGAAGAATGGTTGAAGAGAGAAAAAAGAAGTAGTAGTAGTAGTAGTGGTGAAGGAGGAGAAGTAGGAGGAGGAGGAGGAGGAAGGGAGAGGCAGAAGGATTGAGAACATGAAGGAGGAGGAAGGAGAGGTCAGGCAACTGTGCTCCTCATTGTAGGATATATTAAGGTCAATGAGATAGAGTAGAAAGAAGAATAGGCAAAATTGAAGAAGAAAAATAATAAAAATAAAAAATAGTATAAAGGAGAAGAAGTAGAAAGAAGAAGAGGAAGATGAAGAGGAAACAGAAGAGGAGAAAGAAAGGGGGAAAAGAAGGTATAAGAAAGGGGAAGAAGAAGAAGGAGGAGTATAAGAAATGAGAAGAAGGAAGGAGAAGTAAGGGGAGTAAAATACTTGACAAACACGTTAATAAACTGCAACAGGTGGCATGGAAATGGGATAATGTTCATGGGTTCTATGATGTTTGTCTGCACTGCCAATAACCTACAGCAGTGTTTACCTCCTCTCCCCCCCCTCCCCTCCCTTCCTCTCCCCTCCCTTCCTCTCCCCTCCCCCTCTTCATGAACACTTCAGCGTCAAGAGAAGAATATGCCGCCCTCTGATATTGGATATTGAAGGATAATGGACTGCAAGGGCTATTATATTTCTTTTTTCCGGGTGTAATGTATATGTGTAATGTCAAAAGCACGTTGGAATTCACACATAAATACAGTCATATATATATATAAATACAGATAGATAGAGAGAGAGACAATGAGAGAGAGAGAGAGAGGGAGAGAGAGAGAGAGAGAGAGAGAGTGTGTAAGAAAGGGTTATAGAAAAGAAGCTTAAGTATTCATATCCGGTTTGTCTGCATGAAAGATCTAGTCGCTATACTGTACACACACGCGCACAAACACACACACACACACACACACACTCACACACACACACGACTCACACATTTGATTCACACAGTCTACCCACATGCTCTAACCACACAGTATACCCACACACTCTATCCACACACTCTAACCACACACTAGAAAAGATTTTAAACCCACTAATACATATCCTCATTTGACATGTTTTTTTCACTATAAATTACTAATACAAATGCCACAGCTTTTCATAAATAATCCTTATAATATTACAACGCAATAATACTCACCTGACCCATATGTTTGATTAATAGTATGACAATAGCCTGAAGTGTTATTGTGTTTATGTCAGTTCAGTAATGTATAATTATTTGTAGGAGAATTTGTCATTACTCACTGATCGGCTCTCTGGTGTGCGCGCGCGCGCGTGTGTGTGTGTGTGTGTGTGTGTGTGTGTGTGTGTGTGTGTGTGTGTGTAACTTATCTTTAGAGGCGAAGTATTTTCATTACCTTACCTACTGATAAATTTTCTATCATATTACCAAAATAATAAATAAACCTACAGCTGGAGAATTAGGCTAAACATTTAGAAAGTGGCGAGCGAGTTAAGACTTGGGACAATAGGAACTTCCTCAACGCCCCGTTGGCTGCTAATGCAATTTTCACTCGCAAAACTTTTCCAATTTAAAGGACGGGGGGACGGGGGAGGAGGGGGGGGGGGTAGCCTCACTGTTTTATGCAAGTTTGTCACATATCAGTATATGAAACGAGAGCAGGAGGAAGATGGAGTTGGTCGCGTAATCTCTTCTATAATTTATTCAGGTGATCGTGGCCTTATCTATGGGTTACATGGATGATTTATGACTAGACGGAAGTGAGTTATCTATGGCGTCCAGAGTAGAGGCAGGCAAACCGCAGTGGGTGTGTGTATGTGTGAACGATTTAACACTAATATAATATGGAAACTTCATAATAACTAGTCTGATTCGTTAGATACTCGTCATGAACTTAATTATCAAAGTTGTGTTATACATGTATTTGAACATAATGATTAGTTATATTAATTAACTTATATGTAACATTAGAAAAATTAAATTGAACATAAAATAGATGAATACATTAACTAATAAATATCCTTTTATGTATATTACGAAATTTTTACCGGGATTGTTATTTTAAAACTGGAATAAAAAAATTAAATAAAACAGAAGTAATGAAGTAACATGGAGTGCATTATAGGTATTACTATTCAATGTTAAATTATGCAAATGACGGTGGCAAATCTGTTGGTCATTAATGGTAAAAGTAAATTAAAGAGAGAACAACCAGGTAATATATGTGTGTGTGTGTGTGTGTGTGTGTGTGTATATGTGTGTGTAAAGTTTCTCTAGTGGTTGAGGATTAAACAAAAAAATAATACAAGATAATAAACGATGAAATAAAATAAGCAAACGGAAGAAAATCGGATAACAGTAAAACAATGTCGTTAATGTGATAAGAAAACAAAATTGTGAAACTAAAACCAAAGAACAGAAAAGTATAAAGAATAAAGGTTAAAAGTTAAAAGAAAATGTGATAATGTTTATGATAACAGGTTAATATATTAGAAAATGATAACCTGATGTTTCTATCTTATTTATTGCTGAAGTATTTGCATATATAACAACGACAACAACAACAACAACAACAACAACACCAACAACAAAAAGTCATCATCAGTAGCGGCAGCAGCAACAACACACTGGAATGCCTGGACTCCAAGATATAGGAAGAGCGCGGGAGGACAACATACCGGTGGGAATTTTCCCTCTCCATCTGTATTTCATTAGAAGGCTCAAGGTAAAGAACAAGAGAATGTGTCTTAATAACAATATATTTGTCAGTAGATACACAGAAGACTTGAAAATACACATTGTGTATATGACGTTGTTGTTGACGACGTTATGATGTTATTACTGCACTTCAACCACGTAGGTCTCTGGGCGCGTAACAATGTTAGTAATTACACTGGTCCATCAACAAGTAAATACCATGTGACAGATAATTATCTGTCTCTGTGTGTATATATATATATATATATATATATATATATATATATATATATATATATATATATATATATATATATATATATATATATATATATATATATATATATATATATATATATATATATATATATATATATATATATATATATATATATATATATATATATATATATATAATTTAATCTGCTATGGGCAGATATTATGTCATTATTAAATCAACTCTTGATACTTACTGATCTTTGGTTGTATTAATCAACTCATTTATAAAATAAGAAGGAATAATTAATTACTTAATTATTTAAATAAAAGTTCACATTCATGTTGTACAGTATGTGACATATTGCTTAATAACTCATAGTACAGTAACTACAGCCATGATGGTGGAGCATTGGTAATTTCATTGTGTAGGAGTCATTGTGGGTGAAGCATCTATACTAGAGCAACCATACAGTAGCCGCCTTGGTGGATGAGTGTGGTGGCGCAGGACGCTATGAAAGGTGCTCCTTCTCCACTAACTTAGCCGTCAGATCGTTGATGAAGTCTCTGAATGCAAATGCGTCCATGTTCTTGGCTAAAAAAGACCGAATAGATTTGTATTATATAAAAGTACCTTGAATAACTGTACCTCGCATTACTGCGGCATTAACCTAAATACTACAGACGTGCTTTATTAACAATGACCTATGAGACTCTACCATAAATCTTCTAAAGGTAGGGGTTCTTAAGATCATACTGGGTGAGGAGGAGAGGAAGCCACACTGTCAATAATACACTCACAGTCACTGTTACTGTCACAATCATTATCACTATCACTGTCCCGGTCACAACTTACTACCACTGTCACTTCCATTGTCAAAATCACTGTCACTGTCACACTCTCTGTCACTGCCATTGCTACTGTTACACCTTCAGTCACTGTAGTGCAACTTGACTCTAAAGCTCCTAATTGACTGTGTGGGTTGTACTAAGAGTCCAAAAGAATGAGTAAACTCCAAAAATGGCCTAGTAGGTTGACAAGTCCTTCCAGAATACCATCAACCGGAATGGGAGGTATTCCAGCTCCACAATGTATCACAGACAACACACAAAAGCAATCTGGGTCTACTCGGGATCTGGTACACAAGCGTCGAGTATACAATTCCTTAGGTTTGTGTTCATTCTGCACGCTCTATATTTTTGTTTCCACCCTGATCTTGTGGTGAGGGAGAAGCATTGTTTTAGCCAAGGAAACACTCAAAGATATCTATTCTTCCTAGTATTCTTCCTATCCAGAGTGCAATAAATTTACTCGTCTCCTATACCATTTATATAGATTTTCTTCTTCACTGGTGTCGTTAATGGAACAAAAGTGTGTTTAACTTACCTATCAAGTTGAGAATGAACCAGTCTCCTATAAGGCACCTACGAGAGATGGCCGCCACCTTGTCTACGGAGGCCAGGCGGGAACGACTTCGGAGGAGGAGATGGCGGAAACCTGAGGCAAAGGTGGCCAAGCGGTAGAGAAGACCAAATGCGGAGATGATCGCCAACAACACGAACCTGCCGACGTAGAATTCCGTCTTTAGTATATAGGTAATTGTCCCATAGGTTAGTCTCTCTTGACCCTATGTATGTTTTTAAGAACTGTCATAATATTATTTTTTTCATTATAACCACAAGTCTGGACGTCTTTACTAACCCCAGAGACACCTATCCTACAACTCACCTGAGCCACAATATTACGATATATTACTACGATGCAAACCAAAGATTCCCCGCAGCTCACTAAAGTCCCAAGTCAACACAACTACAATATAAACCAAAGGCTCGACAGCGTCTCACCAGAACCAGAGGAAGGTGTAGATCTTCTGGTTGAGGATGTTGACTGGCAGGACACAGAGAGCGTCGTGGCGCATGATGGTTCCCGAAGGACCAAACTTGTGGAAGGTGCACTTGGCCACCTTAGGGAAGATCTCGTCCATCGGGTCATGACCGATGCTTGAGTCCATGGAATACTGCGCCACTCTCGGTCCATAATTGATGAACCCGATGTCCAAGAACCTGAAGAGAACCACAGGAATAGTTAGTGATCTATGACTGAACCCTCGGATCATATCTGTCGCAGGTATAGCAGCAAAGTTATTTAACAGTGAACCAAGGAAGATGGTGTGTATGTGTGTATGTGTGTGTGTGTGTGTGTGTGTGTGTGTGTGTGTGTGTGTGTGTGTGTGTGTGTGTGTGTGTGTGTGTGTGTGTGTGCGTATTTCTGTCTGTTTATCTGTCTATTTGTGAGTGATATAATCTTTAAACATCTGATATACAATAAACTTCAACATTAAACAAAATACTGTAAGCATCAACTCACCTGTCTGTTAAATACATCTGCCCGATCACGTTAATGAAGTTGAGGACCTCACAGGTGAAGAACTGATAAGCGTAGATGTTGTGCTGGTTGAAGTAGTGGCCAAAGTATTCGACGGCGAAATTCATGCGTTGTTCTCTTAGTTCAGGAGCCACGGCAACCAGGTTAAGATCAGTGACCAAGCCTTTAACTCGTCCACCTTCCATCCTCTTCCACAGAAACCGCGGGAAGTAAAACATGCCAGCCTGTAACATGATGAATAGTTATTGCTCTCCCTTTCTCTCTCTCTTGGTATTTCTCTTTTTCACTTTCTATTTCTCAGTATATCATTCTATCTGTCTCTCTCCTTCTATCTGAATGGCTTTCTTTCGTTACGTATCTTTCTGTGTTTTTGTTTCTCTTATTGTATGTGTATGTTTAAGTCTATCTGTCTCTATCTATGTCTATCTGTTTGTCTTTTTGTCAATATGTCTGTATGCCTGTGTTGTTATCTCTTTATGTTTATTTGTCTGTCTGTCTGTCTGTCTGTCTCTCTGTCTGTTAACCAGTTTTTGTAACGGCTCTTGACTATCCGTGATAAAAACAATGTCATCTGCATACTTCACCATTAACTTTATTCCTTCATTGTTACTTAGAACTTCTCTCATGACGAATTCTAAAAATATATATTATTCAATGTTTGAGATACAACACAGCCTTGTTTTACTCCCCTCTATCCTTGAACCAATTAGTAAGTTCATTATTCACTAAAATTGCAGCCTCATGTTGCCAGTAAAGACGTTTTAGAATCCTAATATCTCCTTTGTTTAATGTCTATTTTTTCCAAGATATCTATAAGTTTATCGTATTTACCTAATAAAAATAGATTTCAAAATTAATAAAGTAGATATAAAAAAATTTGGACCTCTAAAACCCTTTCTCAAAATTCTAAAACTAATTATAGCTTCTTTAGTTCCCTTTTCCCTTTATAACTCCATTTTGGATTTCGGATAACTCAGTCTATTAATTTTATTCTATTTAAAATTATGATTAATGATTCTTTGCAGGCATAACTTATTAAACTCATTGTTCTAAACTGGGTTAACTCTAAGGCTCCTGACTTTTTAGATAATATATTGCATATATTTTAGTCAAACATTTGATCCAATTCTTGCCCCCATTATGTTTTATTTGTAATTTTGCTGGAAGCTGATCAATCCCACAAGTCTTAGCATTGTTTATTTGGGAGGGAGGGAGGGCAGGAGGGCAGGAGGGAGGGAGGGCAGGAGGGCAGGGGGAAGCAGTATTAGTATGTAAGACGTGTGAGAGGCCCAAGGATGTGCATGATGCTAGAGACGGAGAAGAGTGTCTGGAGGTAGTTTTACGCCTGGTTATTCTTGCTAGCTGATGCAACGATGAGATGTGATATGAATATTATTAGATAAAAAGTCTTCATAAAGTATTAATTTAGTATTTTACTAAGTATTTATCTAAGCTAATGACATAAGTTTGCTCACATAAGTTAATGAACCAAACAAAAGATAAGAACAATCAACCATCACATATATTATCGTATTTACCTTAACTGTATTATTTTACTTATACTCATTAAAAAACAATATTTATGATCTATGCAAATCCATCATCCCTCCCCTCCCCCCAACACTCATAAGACATCTGTTGTTGATGTTTATAGACAAACTCACTCTCCGCCTCTCTCCCCGCTCTTCAAAAGTTCAATTATTCCAAACATGAACGCCTGAACCCCCTCACCTGCTGCACCGCCCTCCGTCTCACTCCACCCTGATTGATGATAATTCTTAAGGGGGCAATATCACGCCTAACAACCTCCTACCCTACGATGGTTCTTACTAAATGACCAACATATCCTGCTACGAGTGTAATGAATCTGATACTGTCCTTTATTCAGAAAGATTAGTGTATAGGAAACGAGAAGAGTAAAATAAGTCGTTTGTGTTTTCATTGTCCCGAGATTAGTTATATAAACCAAATGTCAATAGAATTGTTTTGTGTTCTTTGTTAGTTGTGTTTCTATTAAGGAAGTAAAGTAGTTTTATTGTATATAAGGTATTGATGGATGAAAGTCTTACTTGGCTTCTATACCAATTCACTAGCGAGATAATATAGTAATTCTTGAAGGGACTTAGTAGATGAGACGGTGAGAGTTATTTGTACACTAACTGACAAGAACTGAAAAGAAATAAGCTAATTACTAAATGTTGTATATTGTAGAAGTTAAGGACCAAAAAGATAAAAACAATAACAATGGTAATTAAGAGACGCAATGACCAATCAGAAGGAAGAAGAATATAATGTAAATATTGAGCTGGAAGAAGAGTAGACGAAGAAAATTGTAAACACTGACCTGGATAAAGAGGAAGAGGGTGACCCACTGGTAGTACTTGTGGTGCTTGGTGGCGTACTGCTCACGGGCTCCGTCGTCTCCGTTAATGACAGGTAGCCTTACAACATCGTGATTGGAGACACCTGGGTGAGCCACCTCCTCCCCCACCACGGCACCAGTCAACGACGGTATCGTGTACGTCGACTGGATCCAGCAAAACATGTCGATGGTGTGACTGTTTATGGCGTCCACCATGCAGTCGATCGGGTCACCAAAATACTGCTTGTTCGTCACCAGTAAACTGAACGTCACCAAAATCACCATTGTCGCTTTGTAATGTAAACAAAAGATCACATTATCGATCCTGATCTGATCGATTTTGAGTAACTGACGGATAGTACCAAAAACGTCGAACATATTGGCGGTAGCAATCACGAGATGCGAGTGTGAGGAGAGAGAGGCGCAAAAAACTTGGTCCGTCTCCTGGGAGAGACAGACCCAGACTCCTGGGCTCGACACAAGGACGTGGTGGCCCTACCCACCTCAACCACCACTCACACTGCCACACCTGTAATATGTCCCATCCACTGTTCAAATGATACCTATAAATTCACATTATTTCTCATAATATCCTCTACATGGTAGTTTCAGATACTGTGTTCTAATTTTTCGAGTCGTCAGTGAAGGGTGTTGTGCCTGCAGGAGGCCTTGACGTCACAGAGATGAGTTCAGCACTTCTCCGAACAGGCTAAGGTGGCGCGTCTGGGCGGGCGGTACGACTGGCTGGCAGTGTTTACGAGTGGCTTAGTTAGTAGGTGGCAAGGTGCGTAGGTGGAGGAGAGGAGAGATGTGTGAGTCAAAGGGTGGTGGCATGCGTGGGTGGGTGTGTGGGTGGTGGTATCCGGGTGGAGGGTGGTATGAGTGTGGGTGGGTAAGTGTGTGGGTGGTGGTATCCGGGTGGGTCGTGGTATGAGTGTGGGTAGGTAAGTGTGTGTGTGGGTAGTAATCACTAGGCCGTGTGGACGTTGAGAGATATGTATAGAACATATATGAGCAGGGATTGGCGTGTCTCTGGGCGTTTTAAGGCTGTGACGGGCGTGGGTAATAATTGCCACACAGCGATGTGCTCTTCTTATATACCACGTCACTCCCCTCATGACCTTCAACCCCTCACCCCTCACCAGACCCTCAGATCTCCACTCCACTCACTCTAAATTACATTAACTCTAACCCGACATTATTCTCCATATAATAATAATAATAATAATAATAATAATAATAATAATAATAATAATAATAATAATAATAATAATAATAATAATAATAATAATAATAATAATAATAATAATAATAATAATAATAATAATAATAATAATAATAATGGCGGTAGCAACAGCAGCAGCAGCAAAACAACAACAACAACAAAAATAATAATAATTTCATAGATGGAAATAACAATATTATTTCAAATTTTCGATTTTAAAATAAAGAAAATTGTAATTTGTCCAATCAATACAATAAGGAAGAATAAGTTAAGACGAGGCGGGGGAGGAGGTGGGAGAGTGAGACAAGGGGAGGCAAGGGGGTGGGAGATTGAGACAAGGTGAGACAAAGGGGTAGGCAAGGTAAGACAAGGTGAGACAAGGGGGTAGGCAAGGTGAGACAACGTGAGAGTGGCGTGGCAGATGCAAGGACTAACCCTGTTCACCTGTGGTTTGTGGCTGCGGTGCGTGGGGGGGGTCAAGTTACCTGGAAATTGGCACCGTTGCTCACACACTATTCCAGGTATACATGAGTCAAATAGTTGTTTATTTTCTCTCTGTCTCTCTGTCTCTCTCTCTGTCTGTCTCTCTGGCTGTCTGTTTCTGTCTCTCTCTGTCTCTCTCTCTAGCTACGGGCGTATTTGTACAACTAAGCGTGTGGTGGGCATTGTGTAGGGAGGCGTTGAAGGTTCCTGGGAAGTAGAAGTTGAATCTACCAGGTGGAAGAGAGAACCTATAGTGGGATGGACATGATGAGAGAGGGAGGGAGAGTCGTATAACAGTAGACAGAAGAGGGAGGAGGAGGAGAGGGGATAAAGAGAGAGAGAAGGAGGATGAAAGGGGCAGGGGGGAAAGAGGGGAGAAGTAAGGAGAGAGAGAGGAGTAGCAGATGAGAAAGAGAGAGAAGATGAAGATGAAGGGGCGAGGGAGGAGAGGAGAGAAAGAAAGAGAGGAGGGAGGGAAGAGGGAGAGGGTAGAGGAAGGGAGGGAGGGGGCGTATAAGAGGAGGAGGACGGGAGAGAGAGAGAGAGAAAGGTCATAAGAGGAGTACCGGGAGAGGGAGAGGGAGGAGGAAGGGAGAGGAGGAGAGGGATGTGTGGTGGGGAGCGGCACACTCAAATACCGTGACTTGACGCGGACCACACCCATGCCACCTTATTAACCATGCAAGCCCCCCCTCTGTTCCACCCCTCCTCCTCTCCTCCCTCACTTCCTCCCTCTCTCGCTTCCTCCCTCTCTCCCTCCTCCCTCTCTCCCTGCCCCCTTCCCTGCCTCACCCCGTCTGCTCCAGAGCTCTGTGTTACTGCCTCATATACCCATCCGGACTGAACCGTTATGATTCCTTTGGTAAATAATGAAAGCTTTAGTCAAGTCAATGAAGGCTACTGTAATAGCCTGGACCATGCCTGTGTGTGTGTGTGTGTGTGTGTGTGTGTGTGTGTGTGTACGAGTGCGTTTCACTTGTATTTGTGTATGATTCTATGACTGTTTATTGTGTGTGTTTGTGCGCTTGATTTTTTTATAAGTTTGAGAAGGAAGATCGACTCCCTTCTATAGAACTTCGAGAGTTATGAACAAATAGAAGTCTAATTCTTCCTCTATCACGTGATAACTCTGAAATTTCCTAAACCATGAACAGCGACTCTTAATGCGTCAACTCCGGGATCAAATCCTCTACCGAGAGGCGAATTGATTTTAAAAATAATCTGAATCTATTCTCATTGCCATCCTCCTGTTTGACTCTGTGTGTTGATCCTCAGAGCCCTTCACATTAGTCCAATGAAATAGGAAGTTACACATTAGGATTTATATCGAATTAAAGACTTCATATATATGTTTTTGGTTTTTTTTGGATTCCTCAGTTCTTAATAATCCAATTTAAACACGCACACACAAACACACACACACACACACATATATATATATATATATATATATATATATATATATATATATATATATATATATATATATATATATATATATATATATATATATATATATATATATATATATATATATGGGTGAGTAAATAGAAGAGTCTGGGAGGTACTTCATGAACGCGGGTCATCAAAGGAAATTCAGCCCCAAAAAATATTCAAACTCCTCTTTGTCTCTGTAATTAACCCAGAGAGTTTCGTGGCCCGCTTAGCAACACATGACACAGGAAGGATCTCTCCCTCAGAACCCAAGATGAAAACAGTGAGTGCATACAACAGCGAGAGTCACCAGAGTGAAGGAAAGAAGCCGGGTAAAAAGTTCTCTGAAGTACGATGTGTCAGTAAAAGATCTCTTGGCGGACGGTCTCTAGAGAACCTCCCACTACCGGTATTTGTTCTCAGAGTTGACTGGTATTGTTAGAGGAAGCCAGCCAGCCATCCGGTGTTACTAGGCGGAAAAAAAATGGTACCATTGTCTCCCACACTACCATCTCTCTCTCACTGTCTATACCACCTGTGTATTGATTTAAAATGTTTATACTTACTCTATATGTTTCCCAGGATGATTATCAAATAAAACGTCATCTAAGTCTCCATTGTATATATATATTTTGTAATTAGTATCGTGTTTCCTGAGGCTTGTGATAACTGATAAGACAAGAGTGAGCAGTAACCCAAAAGCTGCAAACAAACCGCTTGGCAGCCACTAAAAATATTCATGATGTAAGACGTACTTCAAAGGTCAACTGAGGGAAGTCTGTGTGCCGCTACCACTTCAGTCTCCTTCCTAATCTCTGAGCCTGAACCTAACCTAACCTAACCTAACCTAACCTAACCAATACTAACCTTAAACTAACCAAGCTTAATTTACCCTTAACCCAAACAAGCATAATCTAGCATAGGAGGTTGTGCTGTCAGGGTCTTACTCAATGTATCAGCATGTCCGACGTGATGCTGAACTTTCCTGGAATGTAAAGAATTGTGAGTGTACTTATAGGTGCCCTGAATGTGTGTGTGTGTGTGTGTGTGTGTGTGTGTGTGTGTGTGTGTGTGTGTGTGTGTGTGTCATTATGTACATTATTTATGTATGTATGTAACTATATGCATGTAACTGTATGTATGTATAGTAATGTCAATGTAAGATGAATGATGTGATGTACCTTGTAAGTTGTAGTATTACTGTCGTCACTATGGGTGGAGTACACTTGGCGCTATGTATGTGTGTGTGGGAATGAAGCAGTGTGGGTTAGGTCCGCGTGGGATGCTGTGTTGTGTGAGGCGACAGGAGTATTATCAGTTAGGTATTTTTGGTCTTGTTTTGAAGGAATAACAACATATCAAAACACCTCTGGGATTACGTGAATATGAGGCACTTTAGCTTATTTCACGTGATAATTAAACACTCTAACGCTACCTGTAGGCTTATAGGTTAGGTTAAGTTAGGTCAGGTCAGGTCAGATTAGCTTAGGTTAGCTCTATCATCAGGTAGAGTAGTATTAGTGTCTGAATCATAGCAAACGAAAGGTGAATCGTGAATCTAGAATCGCTCGTGATGGCGGAGACTTTGTATGCGTGATATTTTATGTCTGTGTATCTATACATGCACGTATATAGGTCCATGTTTGTGTAAAGAAGGTATGTGTTTCTGTGTCTGTAAATGCGATAATACTAACACATGAAAAATACAAAATAAAATATAATAATAACATCAGAACATAAGAAAATAAGGAGTCTGCAATAGGCCGGTTGGCCTGTGCAGTGTGCATGGCAGCTCCTGTCGAGAGTTACTACCACTCTCTATCATCCATGAATCTATCTAGCCTCCTTTTAAAACTTTCCAGCGTTCCAGCACTTACTACAAAGTTGCTAAGCTTGTTCCACTCGTCCACCACCCTATTTGTGAACCAGTTCCTTCCTACCTCCCTCCTAAACCAAAACTTATCCAACTTAAATCCGTTGCTACGAGTCCTATCCTGATCGGATATTATAAGAACTTTATCTATATCCCCTTTATTGATTCCTTTCACCCACTTAAATACTTCTATCATATCTCTCCGCACTCTTCGTCTTTCTAGGGAATGCAAGTTTAGTTTCTTTAACCTATCTTGATATGAAAGGTTTCTAAGTCCCGGAATCATTTTCGTCATTCTTCGCTGCACCGACTCCAGTGAATTGATGTCCATTCTATAATAGGGGCACCAGAACTGAACTGCATAATCGAGGTGCGACCTGACTAGCGCAAGATATACTTGAAATAAGACCTCTGCACTCTCATTACTTACACTTCTAGATAGAGGACCTAATATTCTGTTTGCCTTATTTCGAACATTAACGCACTGTTTTCTAGGCCGTAGGTCCGGGCTTACAAGTACCACTAAGTCTCTTTCACAAGTCGACCAGAATAACTAGATTAGAAAATAAAAGAACGTATAAATAATGAAGACAAAGACAAATAAATAAAACAAAGTTAATTAAAAACAGTGAAGACGATGGAAGCACAAGGAGAGAGCTAACAGTATCTTGTTTACCCGTTTGACCTTGGAAAGACGCGTTCCTCACAGCCAGGTGACACAATAGCCAAGTCAGGAGTTACACTTTCAGGAGTAGAGATACATACGCCAGGTGACTGCTGTACCTGACGTTTGCTACACCTGATAATTACCGTACCTGATAATTGCTGCACCTGGTA